CCTGCCTGTTCTGGTACTCCAATCACTTGTAGGTCATTCCTCTTGATAGAGTCCCACATAATTCTTGGGATTTCTTCATTTATTTAAATTCTTTTATCTGATTTTTCCTCAAATAAGTTGGTGTCAAGTGCTTTATCTTCAATCTCATTAATTCTGACTTCCATTGCCTCAGTTCTGCTCCTATGACTCTCTATTGAGTTGTCTAATTCTGAAATTTTACTGTTAATCTTCTGGATTTCTGTTTGCTCTCTCTCTATGAATTCTTGCAGCCTGTTAAATCTGTCATTGTGCTCTTCTCTAATCTTCTTAAGTTTCTCTATTGCTTTGTCTACATGTTCCTTGGCTTGTCTGCGTTTTGCCTGATCTCCTTCTTGATCTCTTGAAGGGTTCTGTATATTAATCTTTTGTATTCTACCTCCGATAATTCCAAGAAGTTCTCTTCCTCTGGAAAATTTCTTGATTCTTTATTTTGGGAACTTGTTGAAGCCATCATGGTCTGCCTCTTTATGTGATTTGATATTGACTGTTGTCTCTGAGCCATCATAAGTTATTATATTTATTTATTTTATGTTTGCTTATTGTGTCCTAGCTTCTTGTTTTGTTTTGTTTTGATATGCCCAAATAGGCTGCTCATGTGAGCTAGTTTGATTATTGGCGCCTTTGAAGCTCTAACGTCTTATCACCAGGTGGTTAGACCTGTTACTAGGTATGTGAGCCCAGGAGTCCATTTACTTTTCTTGTATGGGTTCAGCTAAGATGTCCAGGTAGTCAGTCACCAAGTACGTGGTGCAGGCTCTAACCAACAGTCCTAGATGGGCAGGGGTGATTGGAGTAGGCACAGGTATCTGGCTGCCATAAGGCGTCACGCACTAAGGCAGGGGGTTGATGGCTGCCCCTGAGTGTCTGGGAGGAAAGCGTGTCCCTGTTCCCTAGAGTGCATAGGTGGGTGGGTTTTACAGCTGACTACGGGCACCCAGTGCTGTTGGCTGTAAAGACTAGGAGGCACCACTTATTCTTGGACCCCTGTCCCAGGTGGCTAGGTGGCATGGGTGAAGCCACCAGTCCTTAGGCCTCTAATGTAGGTAGGTGAGGACCCTGCTTAATGGGCAGAGCAGTGTCAAATGTCACAAACCTTCCACTCCACCATATAGCTGATACAGTGGAGTTAGGCTTCAGGTATATACCTTGTTGTACTGTGCTAATGAGGGCCTATGCTGTTGAAATGGGCCCATACAGGTCTATGCAGGGGTGAGAGGCATTCCAAGTCTGTGGACCCCTTATGCCTCTGCCTAAGCAAAGGAGCTGTGCCTGCCCTGAGCTCCCGGCTTAGGAGAGCTGGTAGATTATTTTTTCCTGTTTGTTAATTTGTTACCTCTCCAAGGCGAGGAGAATGGCTCAGGGCACTTGATGGGTCCTACTTCTGGCCCAGGGGATGCAGCAGCAATCACTGAAGCTGGACATGGACCATGCAGAGTGTGGAGGGAGCAGGTAAATGGGAGAGAGGTTCTTCCCAGATGGGGTGTTTTTTGATCCTCATGGTAGGTTAAACACATGTACTAATCTTTTGCTGATTGAGTGCCACTTTTCACTGGCTCTGGAGGCCTGATCAGACTCTTCGATGCTCGGTCTCCCCCAATGTGGAAAATGTGTCCCAAACACCATTGCTTGCCTCATCACACATGCCAGCCTATCTGGCCCACAGGGCACCAGCTCCCGTCTGGTCAGGTCTGGCAACTCCTTGCTGCTTCTGAACCATCTCTCCCTCCCCCTGCCACTCAGTATGATTCTCAACTTTGCCTTTGCTGTTCAGGGTTCCTAGATTGTCATATATAATAAATTCACTTGTTTTTTCTGGTCTTCATTGTAAGAAGGACCACTGGAAACGTCTGACTACTCTGCCATCTTGGCTCTGGCTCTGAATATCCTTTATTCTTAAAGCTTTACCTCTAGTCTTCCTTTCTTCTAGAATAGGCAAATGTTAAAAAAAAAAAAATTAGCTGCCAAGACCATCAAGAAAACTGATTTATAAATAAATTTAAAATTATTCAATTTAATCTTTGTCCAGATTTCATTTTGAATTTCCCAAGAAATTAACGCATCCCTTCAGGGGTCTTAAGAGACATATCCAAGGGAAAGAAAAAGGGGACAGCTAGAGATAATTGAAGAGTCTAAAATCCACATATCTAAAATACATTTGAATGCATTACCTTTCAAGATATTCCTCTATTTAGTAATGTGTGTCTTAACACAGATTACTTATCAGGCAACTGTAAGTCACTTCAGAAGTAAAAAAGAAAAGCCCTTAGCAAGCAGAAGTAGATGTTGTATTTGGCTACCACTATGGTTCCCAGAGGAGCCCTGGTGGCACAATGGTTAAAGTGCTTGGCTGCTAACTGAGTGGCTGGCAGTTCAAAGCTACCATCCACTTTGTGGGAGAAAGATGTGGCAGTCTGCTTCTGTAAAGATTTACAGCCTTCAAAATCCTATGGGGCAGTTCTACTCTGTCCTACAGGGTTACTATGAGTTGAAATCAACTCGATGGCAGTGGGTTTGGGGTTTGGGTGGTGGTTCACAGTCTGTAACATGCATCAGAATCTCCTGGAGAACTTGTTAAAACACAGATCCCTGGGCCCCATGCCTGGAGTCTCTAATTTGGTTCATCTAGGGTGGAGATGGGAAATTTGCCTTTCTAATACATTCCTTGGGAGGCTGATGCTGCTGGTCCAGAGAACACAGTTTGAGAATCCCTGGACTATGGAAAAAGTTCATGGAGTTAGGGACCTAGAAAACTACCTAGAAAAATGTCTAACACATAACAGGCATTCAGCATAAATAGGATGCTAAGAATACAAGCAAAGGTAAAAAGAAGAAAGATATCTAAAAGAGAAAATGGAGAGTAACTATGACCCACCACCTTTGCCCTTGAAGCAAAGATATGCACTAATAAACCAATTCCAATTCCAATGGTATTTCTGGAGCCTGTAGAAATGTCTCTTCAAATTGGATAGGCAGTCCTTAATATTTTTAAAAGGAATGTGTGGTACAATGAATTCTACCAGAAGCTGCACAAATGATAAAATTTGAGGCCCTCTAAGATCTGTTTGGTGCCCTGGTAGAGCAATGGTTAAGAGCTACGGCTGCTAACCAAAAGGTTGGCAGTTTGAATCCACCAGCCGTTCCTTGGAAACCCTATGGGGCAGTTCTATCCTGTTCTATAGGGTCAATATGAGTTGGAATTGACTCAGTGGCGATGGCTTTTAAGATCTGTTTTGATCTGCATTCTGTCTGAATGTGAGTCCTTAAGTAGAATGATCTCAGTTGGTGAAGTCCTTCTTGACCTAGAGTATTTCTGACCTTCTTCATCCTTGCTGCCCTTTGAAATTGTTATGCTTGTTTTGGTTAGTTTTCTAAATTATAGCAAATAAATTTTACATGAATATTTAAATAAGATGATTCTTCTGCTCACATGGGGTAAATATCTTAATCTCTAACAACAACACTCATCTTTCCTTTAGTAAATCCATTTTGGCTTTTATTAAAGGAACGGACATTGCTTTGGGTATTTGAGTTACTTTTTCTGTTTATAAAATCTAAGTGCAAAATGCTAAGTTCTGGGACATTAAGTATAGCCTCCATTACTCTAACTGTCTGTTCAGTGGGTGAAAGGTAACGGACTCTCTTCCAGTTTACTAAAGGGGTTGTCTCACTTGAAAGAGAGAGGAGCCACCCTCCGCCTGGTGTTTTTCCTTTTATTGATATAACAACTACATCCTTACCCAGATAGAAAAGAGTTGGAGTTGGCCACTGTCTGGGGAAAACATTGGGCCTTCTTCTGGAGGGGCAGTGGGTGGCCCCATCACAAGCAGGTGTAGTCCAAAAATAGAAACCCCATCATCTCCTTGATAACCAGTGGAAGAAAGCATGAATCAGAATTTTTCCAGACTGAAGGTATATTTTTATAGGAAGATTAAAGTCTGAAATAAATAAAAGACAAGAAACAAGATTAGGAATTGAGAAGCTAAAAGTCTCCAGCAGAGCCTAGGGAAGAAAAAGGTGTTGGACATTTCCTGACTCTATGAAATCTTCAATGAAGGTATATAGCTGAAAGCAAAATTATAAAGTAAATATGTTTTCAGGGAAAAGGAAGTCCAGGGGCTTGAATGCCATTTGTCACGGGAAAATATCTCTTTTTCCACCCAGTTCTGGCTCACTATCTGACCCTTGCAGATCTAGGCTACATACTCCTTTTCAGAGTGGTCACATGGCTTCTGGCTTTAAGTTAGGGCTTATGCTGCTTTGCATTGATGGAAATATCAAGAACAAAGCAACATTTTGAAAGGTAAACACTAAAGATCTCTTTTTGCTACATTGTTCTTAAGCACCATGCATTTTTCAAAAAGAATTACACACAACAGGAGAAGGGCATAATAAATTATGGTGCAGCAACTCTCTGAAATGTTGTCATTAAAAGTGATCTTTATGGAAACTACTGGAAAACATAGAAATGTCAAATGAAAAATCAGACACCAAAACAATATGTGCACTGATTTTTAACTTTGTAAAATAATATCTAAGCATGCAATCAAGGACGAGAGGTAATATCCAATAATAACAATTACATTTCACGGCATTATGGGTAATTCTATAGACCTGAGCCCTGGTGGTGCCGTGGGCAAAGCGATCAACTACTAACCGAAAGGTCAGCAGTTCGAAACCACCAGCAGCGGCTCTGCAGGAAAAAGAAGTGGCAGTCTGTTTCCATAAAGATTTACAGCCCTGGAAACCCTATGGGATCACTATGAGTTGGAATCAACTCAATAGTAGTGAGTTTGGGTGTTTTGTTTTGTTTTTTTTCCACCATCTTTTAGATAGTAAACCAACTGAGATTTTATATTGTTAGTTTCTTTGTATGGAATTCCATAATTTATTTTAATGTCCACAACAATAAATGACTGAAGAGTTTTTATTTTTTCTTTTGATCTGTGTGTGTTTTTCCCTAGGAGTGAGAACTCTTCCATGCCAATCTTGTCTACTGGAGATGGACCATTTGTAAAATTGAATACAGCACCTAATGGTAGCCTAATACTAACACCTAGGTGGGTACTAAAATCTGTTCTTGGGCTACTTGTTCATAGACTGAAAAGAAGATCGATTTTGAAGCCAGTCGGATTTGAATACTACCATATATTGGCCATGTAATATTGACAGCTATTTGACTCATTTTATTCATCAAATGGTGGAGTAGTTGGATGGTGCAAACAGTTAAGTTCTCAACTACTAACTGAAAGTTTGACAGTTCAAACCCACCCAGAGTAGCCTAGGAAGACCGGCCTGGTTATCTGCTTACAAAAGTTCACAACTTTGAAAAGCCTATGAAGCAGCTCTATTCTACACATGGGGTCACCATGAGCAACTGTAAAAAAATAAAAATCTTCAAATCATCTCTAACAGTATCTAACTAATCCCGTCTATAATACTGCCTAACCCTCATAGACATCATAACCAAAAAAAAAAAAAAAAAAAAAACTCATTGCCATCCAGTTGATTTCAACTCATAGTGACCCTATAGGACAGAGTAGATCTGCCCCATATGTTTTCCAAGGAGCGGCTGGTGGATTGGAACTGCCGACCTTTTGGTTAGCAGCCGAACGCTTAACCACTATGCCACCAGGACTCCCATAGGCATGATAGGAAGGTTAAATGGGATATTGTATATGTAACAGTCTAGCAAACTAATACTGTTTCAAAAAATTTTAATTCTATACCATTATTTACCCTTATCCCCGGATTCATAAGGAATGAAATCACATGGAAAGAAATTATGAGACTTGGAAAAAATTGGTCCAATGTTGATCATACTAAGGAGACCAACACAAATTATGTATCAATTGAAAGAGAAGAGGGAAAACCTATAATGATACTATTTTCTCTGCTTTGCTCTATTTCAGCAAATATAATGTGAATGTTAAATGAAGAAATCCAGACTTCTGGTTATGCCCACATAATCTCTTTTGCTTTTTAATATTAGGTTGATTTTTACAGTCTTTACTAAGGTTTTAAAAAGCAGTGCCCTTCCTGTATTCAAAGACTAGTTTTAGCTTAGATTATGTCATTTCTCCTGTTTTGGCACTAATGGTATTTTTTGTTGAAACTGGTTCCTGAATTTTACAGTATCGTTAAAGGGCAGCTGTGGTTTGGAGAAAGTAACAACAAAAAGCCATAACTAGCGGTGAGGATTTAAGATGCCATTGCTGGGGCGTTAGCGTGTAGTATTTTGTACAACATACTTAGTAGTGAATAAAAGAAATTATATAATTATTCAGCTATTGGTAAAAAGTTACCATTTCCCTGAGCTAGAGCAGTAAAACACATTGGCAAAGAGTATTTTCAGTAGCGGTCGAAGCACTGTGTTTGCAGTTGAATGCCTTACAGGACTATTTGCTTGTGCATTGACTGATACTACTAGCGTTACTGGGGAAGAAGCAAAGCACCTCCAAGCGAGAAAGCAGGTGTCCAGATTTTCATTCTAGAGAACATGTCTAAATTTAAATTAACGTTAGAGATCTTGAAGCAGCTTGTACGTTGAAGATTTCTTCTATTTATATCCTGTAGACATTTAAGAATCAGTAAGGAAAATTTTTCAAAACGTTTGTCTTAATTATATGCATGTTTCAGAGCAGAACTTGGTTTTCCATGCTCATCAACAAAATGCCAGGATCATCTTACATTGATGTCACTATAATATGTAAGTTCATGTTATCTGAAAGAGACAGCACTTCCATAGTTAACTTCAGCCTTTTATTACACCAAGGAGCCAGCTAATTAAATGCCCTTAATCTCTTCCTTGATTAGCCACTTTATACTGGGTTGGCAGAAAATCAGACATACATACATTTTTTCAGTTGGTTCGTTGGTTGGTTAGTTAGTTTTTGCAGAGATTATTATGCTTATTAACCCATGAAAACAGGTGCTTTTGAAAATACCCTCAGCACTCGTGGTTGTGATAAAAGTAAGTAAAGAAAGAGGATGTCAGGGAAGATGATTCCCCTGATGATTCTTCCAACTCTGAAAATCTACTGACCTATATCCCCATTTCTTCCTCCTTTATTGTGAGGTGAACGCAAGACTCAGGCTACCCTTTCCTGCCCCCGGGAAAAGGCTGCCCAAAGTAATGTCAGCAATTTGACCCGATATAACTGGATATGTTATACAATTTGGAAACCCTGGTGGCATAGTGGGTAAGAGCTACGGCTGCTAACCAAAAGGTTGACAGTTCAAACCCACCAGCTGCTCCTTAGAAACCTTATGGGGCAGTTCTGCTCTGTCCTATAGGGTCACTATGAGTCTGAATCGACTCGACAGCAATGGGTTTTTGAGGGTTTTTTTTTTTTTTAAACAATTCATGCAGCTGTTGGCACTGGACTCCCTTTTTTGCCAAGTCTTTGGACCACTTCAGTAGTAGTCATAGACATCAATGGAAATTTGACTGAATATTTATTGATCAACATTATGTTATAAACACAGGGCTAGACACAGGATATAAACTGCCTATCAGAATACTTTATTGAATACCTATTATGTGATAGACACAGTGGTAGGAATATATCCAATTTTTTTTCCAATAACCAATAGGTTATTTTCAATCCATGCAAAAGCTGTATGACTTAAGTACTTCTGTTCCACTGTGAGGATAAAATGAGAAAACAAGAGGCTCAGTGTTAATAATGACTTGCACAAGTTCACAAAACTAGTAGGCAGTGCTGAGATTCTAACCCAAGACTTTGTGACTCCAAAACCTGCTAAGCTTAGCACTCCAATGCACCACCTTCTAAGTTCCCCACAGCAGTAGCTCACTTCAAGTAGCAATTCTGCTGGGGGAAAGAAGGGAAAAACATGACCTTTTCAATAAGAATAAAGGCCATGCTATTGGGCATACATTGGGAGAGAATTAGTTCCTTTTGTTAATATGGTAGATAACAATGCATTCACTTATATGACAGTGTTACCCCACTGGGCTGAGAGAAAGATACAGGGTCATGGCACTGTCTTTCTTCCTGTGTAGGGGGGTGGGGCTTACCTGGTTCTGACTCCAGAACCAAAGGTTGGGACAGTAATTCTACTTCACACCAGTTTCACTAAATATACTGGGACAAAGTGGGGATTCACTGCTCATTCCAAGCAGAGCTTAAACAATTTATTTCTCTTAGTCCTTTACACTGAGACACTACTACTTGTGTGTGTTCATGCATAAAAATTTTGAATAACCAAACTGCATGGAGACAGAGGCACCAAGTTCAGTGTAATTTCCTGGTTAACTATTAAGTTAACCTGAAACTTTTCTGTGCTTGCTAAAAATATATATTCTCAAATGTGTTAACACTTTTCATCATATTTATACATAGCACAGAGTGTTAAGCATTGCTTAATCTTTCTAAGACAATTGAAAATGCCTCAGAAAGAAGAACCATTTTGAACATGGATTTTCACTGATGAGTACTATAGATATGGAAGGAGACTGGATGAAACTTCACAGCACACTAGGACACATCCAGAAAATTACTACTTCATCTCTCAACTACAAGGGGATAATAGAAAAGGAGTTAATTGAGGCTTCTTCTTTGGGAAGTTATGAAGTCATATTGATATATCTACACCCCTCCTGACTTATTGACATAGTTAGGTTCCAAAGACCAGGTCATTATGCAAAAATAAGCACTATGTGAAAATGGAGGATGATCACACCAGATCACAAAATGGAGGATAACTACATCATTACATAGCTGCCAAACTACTGAGCTATGGCCCAGCCAAGTTGACATATAACCTTATAATCATAGCCAGCATTATTCTCACCTCACACTTCAGCATTTGTTATTGCCAGACGTACATCAGTAATGCGCAAAATAGTCAGATAGTAGTTTTTTACTATTGTTGTAAATGTGAAACATTGGATAACAAGATAGTCAATAAGTGAGGAGTAGGTATATATCTGTTGCTGTTGTTGTCAGGTGCCATCAAGTTGGTTCTGACTAGTAGCAACCCTATGACAACAGAACAAAACACTTCCCAATCCTGCACCATTCTCACAATCGCTGTTAGGCTTGAGCCCATTGTTGCAGCCACTGTGTCAATCCATCTTGTTGAGGGTCTTCCTCTTTTTCGCTGACCCTCTGCTTTACCAACCATGATTTCCTTCTCCAGAGACTGGTACCTCCAGAGAACATGTCCAAAGTATGTGAGACATAGTCTCACCATCCTTTCTTCTAAGGAGCATGCTGGCTGTACTTCTTCCAAGATAGATTTGTTCACTCTTTTGGCAGTCCATGGTGTATTCAACATTCTTCACCAACACCACAATTCAAAGGCGTCAATTCTTCTTCGGTCTTCCTTATTCATTGTCCAGTTTTCGAATGCATATTGGGCAATTGAAAACACCATGACTTGGGTCAGGCACACTTTAGTCTTCAAGGTGACATCTTTGCTTTTGAACACTTTAAAGAGGTGTACATCTAGAGGGATAAAAATATATACATGCACATTGACTACTAATAAAGTGTAAGTAGTTTTCCTTATATTTCAAATTATCCACTATTTTAAATGGTATGTCAAACATATAATAGGTAGGTATCTGATTTCAGATAGATCTTATTATATGTGTTCCAGAAACTCTGAATTGCTTTGATTCTATTCATAATCTCACGTGTATCATTAGGACTGGTTTTTTTTTTTTATTTTATTTTGTTTTTCCCTAAAATTTCAAGCACCTAAACAATATGCACAATTAGATGTAGGTAAATAGATAAACATAAACCATTAAAGTCATATGTGTGTGCATTTAAAGCGACCAGGGACTGTTTTAGGAAGGAGTGTGGGAAAGTAATTTAATTCCTTATGTTATACTGATCTCTAGTGGTTACTGAGTAAAACACATTTTAAAGGAATTTTTATTTAAATTTTTGCTTAAAATGGAATGCTTGGCTTTTGAAAAATTTGGTGTCCAAATTTTTAAATGGATGGTGAGTTTTAAAATCATTTATACTTACACTGTGTTTTTGTATTTGCCTGGGTACATGTCCGTCTCCCATGAAACCAACAGCTGTGATTTTGATCATCTTTGAATTCCCTGAATCAAGCCCACAGCCGGGTCCGCGGTAGAGCGCACTGCATAGTTGTCAGATTAGCAATAACAGGGGCATATTCTGTATTATATAATGATGAAATCCAAGGTTGGCTCAAGTGAAATAACAAGAGCTATCATTTATCAAGCGTGATTGTGGGTAAGACACAATAATACTTGCGTTACGTATTATTTTCACAAAATTCCAATAAGGTAAGTACTATTACTCCCACTTCATGAATCAGAAAAGCATCTCAGTGGTACTGAGCCACTTATCCAAAAATCACGCAAAGAGTAATTGGGAGAGGATGCAAACTCATGTCTGACTTTTACACCAGGCTTTTTCTGCTGTGTTTCAGTCTTTCTGAATTTTCATATATGATATTTATGTTACAAAGTCAATTTTGCTAATAGGATTGCATGCAGTACTTTGCTTTAAAATGTTTAAGTTCCCAATTTTTGAAATATCTTGTTCTTTTCTTACAGTAAAAAGTGTTTGCAGGATTCATTGATTCAGTTGCAGTGTAACCATAAAAGTAAGTAAATATTTTGTCATGTTCTCTTCCAAGTCTTCAAACTCTGAACAGAGTATTTATGTTACCTGAAGTTATTGTTTAGTGATCCACTCAATTTTCATGATTAGAAGAAACTCACCAAAATAAAATGTATGCTGTTTTTTTGTCAATGTTATTGCCAGCATGTGGGAAAAAACTGGTGGCCCAAGAAGTCAGCCAAAAGATTGTTGGAGGAAATGATGCCGAGGAAGGGGCCTGGCCCTGGCTGGCTGCTCTGTATTATAATGGCCGGCTGCTCTGTGGTGCATCTCTGGTCAGCAGCGACTGGCTGGTGTCCGCCGCGCACTGCGTGTACGGGTGAGTCCCAGGGTCTCTTCTCAAGCCACGTCACCAGAGCAGACATGGTTGAGCATGCGTGCGTCACGCAGCCTTACAAAACCACCCTACCAGAGAAATGCTCCTACTGATCATAACATGATAAACTTTTAAATCATTACGAACTTTCATTAGAGATTTTCATCAAGTATTATACTTTCCACATACATAAAAATTGAATTCTTTTAAAACTTACTTACAAGGTAAGCATTTAAGGGTGTGAAATTAGTATTTTATCTATAAATTGTACTGGTTATCATTCAATTAAAAGGAGCCCTGGTGGTGCAATGGTTAAAGTACTCAACTGTTAACTGAAAGGTCAGAGGTTTGAACTCACCAGTGGTTCTTTGGGAGAAAAAGACCTGGCGATCTGCTCCCGTAAAAGATTCAAACCAAAAGCAAACCCATGCCCCGGAATGGATTTTGACTCGTAGTGACCCTATGTGGGACTGAGTAGAATTGCCCCATAGGGTTTCCAAGGCTGAAATCTTTATGGAAGCAGATCACCACATCTTTCTCCCACATAGTGGCTGGTGGGTTCCAACCTTGACCTTTTGCTTAGCAGCTAAGCACTTTAACTGCTGTGCCACCAGGGCTCCTCCATAAACTCTAGGAAACTCTCTGGGGCAGTTCTATTACATACTATAGGGTCACTATGAGTCAGAATCCACTTAACAGCACACAGCAGCAACATCATTCAATTAGGCCAAAATTTATTGTCAGCAAAGTGTCAATATCAAAAAGCATGTACAGGTAGCCCTCAAGTTAGAAATATATTTTACTTTTAGAAGTTCATGAGTAAGCACTTTGTTATGAACTAGGATTTAAAAAAAACAAAACAAAACTTAGTCCTGAAGTCAGATCTAGTTTGATATTTCCTGTAACTAAAATTTAAGACTAATATCCACCGTATCAAACTCTTTTTTTGTAACATAATTAGTATGAGAAAATCCAGGTTGAATTCTAAACAAAGAGTATATCTTCACCCTCTAGAAATAGCTATTCCTAAAGCAGTACCACCCCTGATGGCTCAGTGGTTAAGTGTTTGGCTGCCAACTAAAAGGTCAGCAGTTCGAATCCACCAGCCACTCCTTACAAACCCTGTGGGGCAGTTCTACTCTGTCCTATAGGGTCACTATGAGTTGGAATTGTCTAGATGATAACGGGTTTGGTTTTCAGATTTAAAGCAGTACCACAGGAAGGAATAGAGTGGATAAACGGGAGAAAGACAAAAGGAGGAGAAAATCAATCATTCTGGGCCCCAAATATGGTAATTCTGTACTTCTGCATGGGGGAAGGCAGCTCTTGGTTCCAGCAGTTTTGAAATAGGTCAGGAAAAAGCAGGGCTTTGAACCACTTATTTTCCGGTTCGACTCCCTGCTGAGAACTTGCATTTCTACCCCAGATTTACTGAATCAGAATCTACATTTTAACAAGATACCCTGGTGACTCTTATGAGAAGCAAATTCTCACCAGGGAACTGAACTGAAAAATAACTGGTTCGAAGCCCTGGAAAAAAGTGCAGCTTCCTCATAAGGGACTTGTAAGCCCTGACTTAGGGTTTCTACCCTTAATAAGTAGGAGAGGCCTCCAGAGATTGAACCTACTTGTGAGGAGTACGATGAGCCCCTCCATAGCTGGTCGTCAGAGTCCCTGTGGAAGGAACCCATGTGTGCTCAGGCATGGAAGCAGTAGCAATGGTTAATCAGGTTAAAAGTGTTAACTCTCCCCATCAACACAGAAATTGAACGTTCTTGAGTAGATGAAGACATATTATCTGACACAGAGGGTCGTGGAAGGTTTTGGGGGGAGTTAAAGGGGGTCAGGAAGAATGATCCCTAATGGACTGAGCATGTGCCTGAATAACCATCACACCAGAGACAGGGTAGACTCAAATGCATAATCCTAGGAACCCAGAGAATGAGGACACTCGGTCAAATCTCAGGTTGGCCAACTAGCTGGTCTCCAAAGGAGCTATCCAGATCTACATCTAAAGTTCTCTCTGATTTATGAACTGAGCCCTGTATTAGGTGCCTAAACTACAATCTCTTCCATATGTAAATTGCACCTTCTTGACTTTGCTGCCTCCTGATAATTATATTTTAATATGTCCAACCATGCCATAAGAAATGTCTCTAACAATCAATATTCCTATCCCCTGCCTATCCTGACTTTAACCTTTGTCTTCATAATGCTCCCTGCCTCAGGCATGTTACAAGTGGGTAATATCTAGATCCTAACTGTATAACAAATAAAGGGTATTTTTAGCTAAAGATTCAGCATTTCTTGTTGCACATATGTGAGTCTTGGTAAGTTAGCAACCTCCTGTTAAACCTTGGATTTGGTAAATTCCTCTGTTTGATGTTCTTGCAGAACACTTGCTTTCTAAATGTCATCCAGGCTTGCAGTAATATTAGTGACATCTACCAATGATCTACTTTAAGGGTGTACTTAGCACAGGTCAATGATGCCAATATTATAGCTCTTCAAACCACAAATATACCAAAAAATAGAACAGCAGTTGTTCTAATATATAAACACATGTTCAGTCATACAGGAAGTAAAATGTCCTTTCACACGGTTTCAACTTGAACACAAGCAAACAAAGATAAGCTGTAACACAATTGGGATGAACTCAATATTATCTTCACTGTCTCCAACCTTGCATTTTACTTTTCTTACCGTCTTCAATGGCAGTATTTCTTTTCTAGGTGCCAAGAGTTTTCTTGCTTTATATCTCATGTCTCTAACAAAGCAAGAAGGCTTTGGATATTATTTTAGATAATTTTACCAAAAAAATTTATCAATATGCTAATATTCTTTATTTGACATTTCAAAACCCTAGTTGTAGAGTGAAAGGCTTAATTTCCTAATAAAAATAATACACATAAAGCAACGTATTGAAATCACATGACACAATGACTTGCCCTCAATGTAAACCTCTTCCAGATGTTTTCACCTGCAGGTGGTGAAGACCGCTAAACTGGAGAGCTCTTCTCCTGTCCACTTTCTTATTGTTAACACTTCCATTTCCATCACTCAGCCTCAGTACTCTTGGATGATCCTAAATAGACCAGTGCCAGTTCTCTTCCTCTCTCCCTGACCTATCTTCTTGTCCAGCCTTAAAAGAGTTTTGGAAGGTTATGGGCCAACTTTGCTATAATCTAAAGAGAAAGACTAACTTTGGACCAGAGGATGGGGTTTTGATTCTATCTATGCTACTGACCTGCATTTGAACTACGGTGTTGGTGAAGAATATTGAATATAACATGGACTGCTAGAATAATGAACAAATTAGTCTTAGAAGAAATACAACCAGAATGCTCCTTAGAAGTGAGGATGGTGAGACTTTGGTTAGCTTACTTTGGACACGTCATCAGGAAAAGCCAATTGCTAGAAAAAGACATGGTGGTTGGTAAAGTGGAGCATTGGCAAAGGTGAGAGAGGACCTCAGTGAGAAGGATTGATAAAGTGGCTGAAACAATGGACTCAGATATAGCAAGGATCATTTAAGATAGCACAGAACCAAGCAACATTCCATTCTCTTATACATAAGGTCACCAGGAGTTTGAGCTGACTCAATGGCAACTAACAACTAGTAACAACATGCTACTGATAAATGTGCGATTACAGACAAGAGAGGTAAGTATCTCTGGGCTTTAGTCTCCTCATCTGTAGCGTGATTATAAGGATATCTACCTCCTAGGGTAGTTGCAATACAAATTTTATTGTGCTGATGGACCTTCCCAGAAAAGTTCCATGAAAGAGAGTCCAAGTCTTACACAGTAGACATTCAATACATTTCTTTTCTAAACTTTTTGTACTGATATAATTTCAAACAAGCAGAAAAATTGCAAGAATAGTTCAGCAAACTCCTGTATACCTTCAGCCAGATTCACCCTGTGTTTACATTTTATACTGTATGCTTTATTATTCTCTTTCTCTCCATATCTGGAGACATATTTTTCTGAACGATTTGATAGTATGTTAGATATTGTGCCCTTTTATTTTTATAAATACTTCCATGTATTTTTTTTTTAAGAAACAGGATTAGTTTCTATATAATCATTAAGTCACGGAAATGTAACATTAGGTAAGTTTTTTTTTCTTAATTTTTTTTTTTACTGTACTTTAGGTAAAGGTTTACAGAACAAATATTTTCTCATTAAACAGTCAGTACACATATTGTTTTATGACATTGGTTAACAACCCCGCAACATGTCAATATGCTCCCTTCTCGGCCTTGGAGGACCTTTTCTTATTTTGGTGAAAATATACATAGCCAAAGATACACCATTTCAAAAATTGCTACATGTACAATTCAGTGACATCAATTACGTTCTTCCAGTTGTGCTGCTATTCTCACTTTAGATGAAGGTTTATAGAACAAAATAGTTTCTCATTAAACAGTTAGCACACATATTGTCCTATGACAATGGTTAAGAACCCCACTACATGTCAACACTATCCCTACTCAACCTTGGGTGCCCTTTCACCAGCTTTCCTGTCCTCTTCTGCCTTCTACTCCTTGTCCCTGGACTGCTGTGCCTCATTAGTCCTGTTTTGTTTTATGGGGCTGTTGAATCCCCGGCTGAATGGTGAACCTCAGGAGTGACTTCACCACTGAGCTAAAAGGGTGTCCAGGGGCCATCCTCTTGGGGTTTCTCCAGTCTCCGTCAGGCCTGTAAATCTGGTGGGTTTTTTTGTGTTAGAATTTTGTTCTACATCCTTCTCCAGCTCTGTCCAGAACCCTCTGTTGTGATCCCGGTCAGAGCAGTCAGTGGTGGTAGCCAGGCACCATCTAGCTGTACTGGACTCAGTCCGGTGTAGGCCTTGGTAGCTGTGGTCCATTAGTCCTTCAGACTAATCTTTTCCTTGTATCCTGTTCTCTTCATTCTCCCTTGCTCCCAAAGGGGTGAGATCAGTGGGCATTAGTTAAGTTTTAAAAAATTAACTATTATCTAATACACAGTATATACTCA